AATCGCTGAGGCAGAGAAAAAGAGCAGACAGTGACAAGATTATCAAGTGGGAGAAGATGAGGAAAGCGATGCAGAGAAAATACTTACCTCCTCACTACCAACAGGATATGTTTCAGAGATTCCACCATCTACAACAGAGAGACTTATCAATGTATTTTATGTACAGTTTGATCAGTTGCAGATGAAGTATGAGTTGGTTGAGCCGGAGGAACATTCCTGAGGAACAACCAATAGCCTGATATCTGGGGGTTGAAGCTTGCTATCAATAATGTTGTGCAGCTACAACTCTATTGGTCACTAGGAGATGTCTGGGCCTTAGCCCTAAAGGTGGAGAGACATTAGAAACAGATCGGACAACCATTACCAGTCAGGCAGCATTCTACAGTGAGAGACATCAGCAGAAGCTCGTCTCAATGAATTGAGAAAATTGGTTCAAATAAAGTCAGAACCACCCTGAGTAAGAAGAAGGCTGAGAAGAGTAGCGCACATAGTACAATCCCCGCCAAAAAATAATTTAGATGCCATGGATTTTAGCACATTGCCTCGGATTGCCGACGAACTGAGTTGTGCCTTTTACCGAGCAAGGCACAATGAAGGAGATTAGCGATGATGAGATAACTGAAGAATAGAGCAAAGTATGTCATCTTACATCAAATGAGGACGAGTTGCTTGTGTTTCGCGGGTCCTACAGATTGAGGATACGAGGGATTTGCAGTGGCTTCACAACAAAATATTCTACACCCGTTGCAATGTGAACGAAAAATTATAACGTCTCATCATCAATGGAGGGAGCAGCTAGAACGTGGTGTCTACGCAGATGGTGGAGAAATTGGGCCTCATTACTTAAGGCGTCTTATTCTTTGATGTTGTTGAAGAATGAGAACAAGCTTAACATTGACAAAAGATGTCTTATGGAATAATCAATTGGAAGTCAATTGCAGGATCATGTGTAGTGTGACGAGGTGCACATGGATGTCTGCCACCTTTTGTTAGGGAGACCGTGGCAATTTGACTGTAGGATTCAACATGATGGGTTCATAAACACTTTCTTCTTCGCCAATGATGGGAAGTGCATCGTCCTATTTTTGCGGAGCCTGAGAACACATGTGCCCTTGCCAGCTGTGCAACGTCGGTGAGAGCAACTTTGGTGATGATAGAGGATGATATGACTGAGATTCTGATTCCACACATGGGAAAGACACGACAGAGTGCACCCTGCCACCATCGCCATTACCATTTAGGGAGGCTCAGGTTACTCCCATTTCAGATTAGGTTGAGCAGAATTTGAATTAATGTGGGAGAGAGTGCAGCGGACGATTGGATCCAGGTGTTGTTAGGACCGCAAACGATGAACCAGAACCTTCGACAAATGAAATCAAAGCTCCCTTAATCCTGGGAGGCTAATGTGGGGCTCACCTAAGGAGTTGAACTGGTTGTTGAACCGATTCAGCAAGGGAGCCTCGAAGGGCTTGACCGACCCCTTGTCTTTGGGTTAGGATTGTCACCCAAGTGAGGGAGGCCCATTAATTATTTACTACTATTTATATGTTGCTTTCTTTTTTTTAGATTCAGTTATTATTGCAGAGTTTTCTATAAAGAAAGTCGTAGGCATCCTCATTTCCCTCTTGGGGTTGTATCCGAAGACGACTAGTGCTCCGATTATATCTCGCTTTGAGGTGCTAATTGTCCTCGACTTTTCTCATCCCCTGCAACCTCTCTCTCACTGTCGTCGTTGTGGTACTTGTTGCAGTTTGCCCAAAGGTAGTAGTTATGTTGTCTATTGCAGCCCCAAACCCTCCACCTTCCTATTACCTTTCCTCTCTCCCTTCTTCCTAGCTGTCGTCCCAACCCTTCTTATATAATCCTGCTGACTGCTATCCCTTTCCCGCTTTCCTCTTGACCGTTAAAATAATGGCCTCCCAC